ATAAAAAATTGTGCATAAACTTCATTGATCAATTTGTTTTAAAAATGTCGTCTTATGTGTCCGGCTTCACAAATACTGTATGTGCCCGACTTCACAAGCTTTTGTTTTGTATGGACTGTAATGATCAACGTGTGTTTTTAAATATGTCGCCTTATGTGTCCGGCTTCACAAATACTGTATGTGCCCGACTTCACAAGTTTTCGTTTATGGAATTTAATGATCAATGTGTTTTTATAAAGATGTAGACTTTTTTGTCTGGCTTCTGCTTTATACAGCAAAAATAAGTGCTCCAAAAAATTTTTTATGCAAAACCAATTAGCATGACTTATTATACAGTGAGGTTGCCGTTATCGAATCACTTAGTAAATTTGCTTGGATATTTCGTACCTGAGTTTGAGTTAAATTCATTTTACAACATTGTTTGGTGGTACTATGTTTTACTTATAACATCATATATATTTCCCCAATAACCACTGATTAAATAAAAAAATTATCGCTGTACTTGTATGAATGATGTTTTCTCCTTTACCGGATCATTTTCTCCATTACCGAATCACGTGACATAAAGCTGATTATTCTGGTTCGGGACCGTGTAAATTTAAAAATACCCTTATTACGTAACGTTTTACTATGCCTTAAAATAATTTCAAACCCCACCCACCACCCAAAAAAGTAGAAAAGCTAGGAATTTTTTGAGTTGTTTGCATCCGACAATTAATGTAAAAACAACAGCAATGAAATCATAGGGAAAACAATTGACTAGTTGATATAAGAGGACGTAAAAACTTATATACGTGCATGATGAACTGCAAACAGCCGAAGAATTAATTTTTGATTCAAAAATTGTACTCATTGAGCTACCACACCCCCTCCCCATAATTTTGTCGCTATTTAGATAGAAAATAGATCGCTAGATATATGATTGTGCCCCCTCTAAAAAAAAAACGTCAGATGACCTTTTTATGCTTGATTAATTAATTGTCAAGGAATTTTGGTGGTTGCAGACCTGTTTACCCATAACGCTGTCTCTCAGTATTTGTTTTTAGATTTGTCCGTGAGATTCGGCATTTGCCAGTGAGATTTCATTTTCCATCAATTTTACATATATTAAAAGAGAAAAACTGCTTTTCTGATTACATAAAACATGATTTAACAACAGGGTATTTGTCATTTCATAATACCACAGCGTTTTGGCAACCTGACATCGATTATGTGTTTGAAATCTGTCTCTTATTTAGCTACAAAAAGGGTGAAACTAAGACAGATCATAACGAAAACTGTTTAATTTCAAACTAACGTATTTCCTATTTCCGTATTTTCAAAATGGCAAAACGTGAGACGTATTTTAGACTAAAAATCCGTACAAATTACGGCAAAATCGTAAGAGTAAACAGGTCTGTGGTTGATAGTGCCTCCTCAACTGAAAATGTATGGCTCTGCACCCCCCCCCCCTTCCCTACCTACCAACAGAAATTGCTTCCTACGAGCCTGGCTTCAGAGATACCTAAAGCTGAAAGGAACAATTATATTTTCAAAATGTCGAGACCCAAAAATACGAAAGCCCAGAAGGCTCATTCGAGATTCGAGATTCGAAATACGAGATTCGAAATTCGAGATTCGAAATTCGAGTTTCGAAATTCAATATCCAAACTAACCAATCAGAAAGCGGTTTGAGATTCAATTACTTCCCTTTGTTATTTTTTACTATTAAGAAATCGTTGAGTATTTTAATACCGAGGAGATCATTTGATTAAATTACAACGCAAGAAAAAGTGTTATATATTATCAAAACGAAATTTAAAGAAATATTGGATTTTGGTCTACAAGATATGCTTAATTAATTCATAATAGCTTCTTAAATGCCATAAGAGATTTAAATAAAGAATATATATATTTCGTATTATCTTCTTTGGATACAGGGTTGTTGACATAATAGTAAACTTAGATTAACCGTACATGCATCCCCCCTTTTTTCCAAACATAATTATTTTACTGTTGAAAATGTTCATCGAAAGGTCGGTTGCTAAGCCCCCAGCGCCCCCCCCCTCCACTACGTTTTGGTACAGTGGTGCAGTATAGTCAAAGAAGTTTAAGTAGTAGTGTATTAAAAGAAATTAGGTACTAAATGAAGTTCGACCCCCCCCCCCCTCCCCCGCCCCCTTTCACGCCCCGAAATAGGATTTTCGGGTTTGGACAAATTTTTCTGTCAGTTTTTAATAGAGGAAATACATAAAAATTTAGTTTTCAATTACTTATCTTGGTCTAAGGCTTTGATAACTTGAATTAATTAAAAATCATAGATACAATAGAGACTGGAATTTATTTTATTTTATATCAAATAGTAAATGAGTCTAGCTAAGCTGCAGAACTGTGGCGGTATTGTTTTATATTTTAGTCTCTGACCATAGTGTTATATGGTCAAAGATTCAAATATACTAGTAAAACCATAACAATCATTTCATTGGGAAGGGGGGGGGGCACAGCCATACATTTTCAGTTTTCAACTACCAAAAATTTCTTGACAACCAAAAACAAAGCAAAGTCATCAGACGTTTTTTATTGAGGGGGCACAAGCATATTGTAGGTATGATTTCTATAGCATTTTATATATCGGAATATTATCGGGGGGGGGGGGGGGCACAATGTAAATAAATGTACCCTCATTAGTATATCATATAAATAATAATTTTCTCCCTCATCAATGTTCTTATTAAAAAAAATGTCGACCTAGTAATCCAGCAATTCAACGATAAGACCATGTAATATTCTGTATATGTATCTATTGTTTTGTTTAATGAGGAAAAATAAGAATTTATATATATTTTCCAAAATGTAACCCAAAATATCTTTTTATTTCGTTTTAATACATATATCATTTTTTCTTGCATTATCATTAAAGCAAATGACCCATTTGTTATGAATATACTCAACGATTTCTTTATAGTAAAACATAATAAAGGGGAGTAATCAAAGTTGAACCTGCCTTTTGATTGGTTAATTTGGATCTTGAATCTCGAAACTCGAATTTCGAATTCGAATCTCGTATTTCGAATCTCGAATCTCGAATGAGCCTTCTGGGCTTTCGTACAAAAACCTAAATTTCCTCCAATGAGTAGAGACAACTTTACAAATAATGATGTTGGGATTCATTTGCTGGATTTCTCCATTCCAATATCCACAGTAGACTAAATACCAGTATTCCGATTTATTAAATACTGGAGGTTGTCCTTTCACTTTATATGGGTCTACTTCAACTGTCCATCGTCTCTATAGAAATGACTAAGACAGCTCATTCTCCTCTAGCTGCTTTCATAGTGCTCTTTCTCCCTTTTACGTGAAGACAGTGGTGGCATATATTCCATATAGACAAAAGGCTGCAGTCTGCATATCATTTTCTCAATATGTAATTTAAATCATATGTTTACTAACTAGTATATGTTGAAAAAAAGGGGGGGGGGGGTATCATAATACTCTGTTTATAATTTATCTAGCTTGATGTTGAATTGAAAAAAGTATTGTTAGCAATATGCATTTTATATTATACGAGCTTGATCTTGATCATGACAAGAAATAAAAATTTATTGGAAATATTTTTTTAGGGAATAGGAAAACTGCAAACGGGGTATTGTTGGAAATAATGATTTAGTAGGGAAGTTTAAATTGCAAGGGGATAAATAAATAAAATTTCTAAATCTTAATTTTGTTTGGTAATCATGACGATTTTTATTTGGCTATCGTCGATGTCTTTATTACTACATTAGCTTACATGCACATATATCACCGGGAGACATTCTCGAATCCACATGCTCTGTACTTCTTACTGATTTTGACTGCTGATTTTGTTTATGTGTATTATAACCACCTTTATTGAACGCTTTGGTAGACATCTTCTGTTTTTTTTTTACTGTAACTGGTGTGCAAAAAACCGCATACGAAAATTTATAATTGCATCTCATATTTCTTGAAACAGTGATTCGTTATTGGAAACCTAAATACCCCCAACTTTAAAGCGAATACTATTAATTTCCGATTTAGAAATTGTATGACGCTTTCAGTGCTTTTAGACACATAATTTTATTAAACATCTGCACCAAATTTGTTTACCTAGACTGTACGATTCACATTGGAGCGGTACCGAAAAGTGAAAGTAGTCTGCTTGCATGTACGCTTCTGGTCAGCGTCACTAAAAAGCTTGTTCATGTTTATTTAAATATTGGGACATTAAACGAGTTGAATTTAATAATTTCATGATATATGATAAAAGCAAGAATAATTCAGCATAACAGGGCAGGTTAGGCTTAGTATTGGACTTTGATAAGAAAAATACAGAATCTTCATCTGAAAGTGATTCGTTAACGGGTGCGATTCGTTATTGGCAACCTCACTGTATATTAAAATGCTTTTGTAATTGGTTATGTGTTTTGTAGGGTTTCCAGTTACAACATTTATGAAAAGGATTTACAAATTGTGGACAGGTACTCAGTATGGTCCCTCTCTTGATTTGGTGATTGAAGTTTGTCGTAATGACTGCCTATGATGGCACCTTAAAGATATCACCCCTCTTCCTGGAGAAGGTAACATCAGAGGATACCACTATTCTGCGTCCCGTTCTCATGTTCATCAATGGGGTTAAGGTTCGTGTAAATGATGACCCAGTATGTGTTGTAAACTTTCTCTCCTCCCCTTCCTCCAAGGCTAAAAAGAACTCAAACTTGGATTTCCTAAAAAAAAAAAAAAAGAGAAAAGGTATGGCAAGCATTAATTAATCATAATAAACCTCAAATTGTTTATATTGAAAAAGAAATTAATTAAGGTACATATACCCAAGGTAATATAATGAACCAAATTACCCAGGTCTTGTCCAAGATGGTCTGCCCATCCTCCGTGGTCATTGATTCAAGGAACTTTTCAATAGCACCGATCGATAACTCCCGAGTGTGCTAAATATAACCCTATCCCAAAATGCATTGCGCGCGACGCCATACTTTCGGACAATAACAATGGAGGTGTCTGAGGCGGACAATGTGTCAGCAGTAGTTATTAACGAAAAACACGAACGCAGAGGTGCAACTAAGCATTGTGCTTATGGTCTTTGTAAAAGTGACTCTAGATATATGGATAGACAAGGTATGGAAGTCGTTTTCTTTATTCGCTTTCCACAATTTCATCGTGAACCGGAGAAGTGTACTCGATGGGCCAATGCATGTCGACGAGAGAACTTTACTGCTTTGTCGGTAAAGAAGGACACATATATATGTAGTTTGCATTTTAAGGGGGGTAGAGGCCCCACGGAAGAATATCCTGACCCAATTCCGGCAACAGCTACCAAATATGAGGTAGGCCTAAACACAGCTGATCTGGCTTATATGTGAAAACTTTTTTATAACGCCGACAGTCAATGTTTATCATTATGGTATTGTGTCTAAAACATCACACCAAGATAAAGGGTAGATAGATGCAAATTTACTTACAATTTTTGTGAACCTTGTACTATAATAATTCAATTATCCACCTCACAAGTCATAATTTAAAAGCGTGGATTAGAGTCAGAGGAATCTCGGATTAGACCTAGTTCAATAGTTGGCATATACAACCATGTTACAATACTTACATACATACATACATGTAAAGTCAAATACTAAAGTAGATAAGTCTTTAATCTGTCATATAATATAAGGATTGAAATATGTGCTAGGCTTATATTAAAATGACATATCACTGTTATGTAAAGTGTAGAATTTTATCAAATTTAAACACAAATCGCTCTTGACAGAGTTGTTGACAATACAAGTAACATTGTAAATTCTAATTCCAAAAAATGTGTGTGCATGCATTTAATGTCTGCCTCATAGAATCAACATTGTCTTGTAAAATTCCCAATATCAAAAGTAAATAAAAGTAAATAAATACAGTAGTGGGTTTATAGTGTCAAAATTTTTTATTCATTTGATATCATAATACTATTATGCCATATTATTAAAAAATCTAGAAAATGTATATCCTTATTGATATATTTGTTTTTAGCTTGAAAAATTTGTCAGAAGCAGAAAGAGGCCGCTAGTGCGAAAAAATCTGACATGGTCCCCAGAACCCAAACGCAAGAAGAGTGATTTAGGGAGTATAGACATTGCTGAGACAGAAGCTGCTAGTGCAACATCTACTGAGGATCATCCTACTGATATTAATCATGATAAAGTTCAGGCAGCAGAGGCATTATTAATGCTGCAGAATTCTGAAAGTGAAGAAGTGAGTTAAATTTTGAGGGTTTTTACTTTTTAGAAATTTTCTAGATTCATATCAACAGACTTTTGCTATCTCTCTGTCTCTAAGGTATACAACTTTTAAAAGTGTGTCTGCTTAAAATGTGTACTGGGTCTTTCATCTAAATATATTAAGTTATTATATAAATATTGCATTTAGTTGAGTTTGATATTGAAAACTTTCACCCCAAGAAAAACCAATGTCAGCGGAGCCCCAGCCAAGGTTGACAGTGGTTTGCGCCTCCGTTGACAATAGTTTCCTAGCCTAGGTGAAATTTTTCAATGTTACACTCATCTACATGCAATATATATTATACACATACTGAATGTTCTAACAGTATACTGGGTGCACATAAATTCTGCGCAGTCTCTATTTTTCGGAATAACACCTCGTCAAGCAATGTTGACTGTTGCTATGCTAGAAGACATGGCTTCATTATTCAGCGTGTACTAGCATTTTTTTTTAAGTTTCTCGACAAATCAGAATCAACTAATTTGCCTGAAAGTGTAATAAAAATAAATATCGTACTTTCATGTAAATTACTTGAATCTAATTCGTCGAGAAACATTTGTTAAAAAACACTATTACCCGCTGAATAATAACACCACACCTTCCTGTGTAGCAACAGTTAAAAAAATAGTGACTGCAAAGAATTCATGCGCGCATGATTCACTGTTATATATGTATTTCTATAAAACATTCAGTATAATATAATAAATATTGCATGTAGTTGAGTGTAACATTGAAAATTTTCACCCCTGGAAAACCATTGTCAACCTCGGCTGCACTTCAGTTGACAATGGTTTTCTTGAAGTGAAATTTTCAATGTTACACTCAACTACTTGCAATGTTTATATAATACAAAATTATATTTACAATAACAATACTATATCCAAAAATTGAAATACTTTAATTAAATAAAAACGCCTTGCTGCTTCATTACCCAATATAATAATAAGTTCACAGTTGGTTGCAAATTGCAGTAGTTGTGAAAAAATATGCAGATGATGCAGTTTTTTCTACAATGCCTGCAACAGATTTGCCTAGTAGATGATTCAACAATCAAATCGTTTAGCATTCAATTAATCTTGATTAGGTAGGTTTATTTTAAATGCAAGGTCGTTCATCTCGGTTCTTTTTTTTTCATGGAAAAATGTTCAGTGGTTGACACTTATTAAGTACTGGTGTGTTCTAAAGAAGTTTGACTTTGAAGGAGTTAGACTCAAAATGTATTTTATTTTGCAGGTAAACATTGTTTCTGATGGACGGAAGAGACTAGATATCCAAGATCCAAATTCCATGTTAAAGAATTCATGTGATGAAGAAACCCAGACATCATCTTGTTGCTTAACCTTGAATGAATCTTTGGCATTAAAATTAGAAAATTTTGATTTAAAAAGCAAGATTTTTGAACTTGAAAAAAAAAGTACACAGTCAAAAGCATTTTCCATTGCTGATGTGAAAGATGATGAAAAGAAAATGATATTTTACACTGGTTTAACTTATGGGCAATTTATGTGTTTGTGGAAATTTCTTGGATCAGCCACAAGAAATCTTTCTAGAATAAATAATATGAGGAAATTTGAGCTTACTCCGTCTAAGTCCAGAGGACCAAAGAGAAAATTGAACTTTTCCTCACACTGGTTAGACTTCGTCTCGGATTATTGCATACTGACTTAG